ATGATTGAAGGTGCTGCCACATATTTTGTAGTCGCTTATGTCACTGTGCCATGATTTTGTTAAAATTTTTGTAAACTGGCTTACCACACTTACAATTGCTATAAATTTTGCTTCCAGTTTTTTAAGATTTTCTAATTTGGTGTCTTCAAACTAAAAACAAAAACACCAAAAACGCACCATGCACGAAACTCAAAAATTTTAGCGTTTTGAATACCCACTAAATTTGGTGCGAAAAGCATAAAGTTGGCAACAGTGAATGTAAACAAAAGTATTTAATGACGTCAGCGATTGGGTGGATGCTGTCAAATCGACGAAGAGAGGGTTAGCGGTCCGCGAATGGCGCGACCTTTATTTTCTGGATCGTGCATGTCAGTATCATCACAGTATAAGTCAAGGCGAATTTATATAAGGTGGTGTTGTTTAATCAGCTGTGAGTAGCGTTTGATTGTCAAAATTTTATATTTTGTTAGTGAGTGAGTGAAAACGTGAGAGTGTTTGCATTTTCTGTCGCCCTTTTTCATTCGGAGAAGAATAGCTGAAATTTGACAATGACCAGCTAAAAGCAAAAACAAAATACAAGTAATTGTTGTATTTGTTGAATCGATACCACCTTATATGAATTCGCCTTGGTATAAGTATCACAATCATTTTTCACGCAAACGGTCTGGATCATTCTTGTTGGAGTGGCAGCACTAATTTTACACTACTAGCACGAGGAAGACGAAAATATAAAAATGAACTCACTAAATGGGGAAAAATACATTTAAACGAAATAATATGCACTTCAAGAAATATTTAGCGTAAAGGAAATTTATTGGAGCAATGGCAGAACATATGTTTGTGTATAAATTCATTTGTCAGTGCTACCAAACCGTACTGCCATATTATCAGTGACACAAACCAAAAAGAGCGGATCATAAATTGAACCAGATCTCTATCAGGATCTTATCGTTGTTGTTGCATTTGCATGCTAATTTTTATCCGGATCCCGATCATTGCCCACGGAAACACAGCAATTGTGCGTATAATTTGTTATTGTAAATTTTTTTTTGTTCTGTCGACACCACCTTGTATAAATTCGCCTTGCAGTTTGCCAAACAAAATTTCTGCATAACACCGACCTAACCCATCAAAAGCATACATATCCATATTTATACATATATATAGAAATATGTATTCAGATCTCTGCGCATTAGTATATATTTTGCTATCATTTCAAGAGAGTTGTGCAACGTTTTCGCTTCCTTGTAGTTTTAACTTGGAGAGTGGCTAAATAAAAGCTTGTAAAAGTCGCGTTTTATATACTTTAGTGACTAGTAAATAATAAGACACTGATTTATTTAGCAGTCGTCGAGCATAGGCGCAAGTATTTATATATGTAAGTATGTATGTATGTAAATATAGCTGAAAGCGACGTGAAGTCCAAGCATGCCAACAAATATTGATGAAAACGCAGAGAAAGACAATTTCAAAGCAGCACAGCACATCCACATCCAACCGTAGCTCATTTTGCCACATAATCGAGATCGAGAGCGCCTCTAAACACAACAAACGTAATAACCAGAAACAAGCTTCCAGTTAGTCAGGCAGAGGCAGATAGGCATAGCAGTGTCGCGCGCATACATACAATTTTGTGAATCGGTAAAGAGAAATTTTTTTTAGTACATACTTGATAAAACAGAAATCAGCAAATACCTATATGTAAATACTGGTGATAATTGAGTTGCGAACGAGTCATCGGCATAATTTTTAATCACACGTCATCTGCGTTCTTTCATTAAAATAAATTTATTGTAATTGTGAGAAAAAAAATACAACTTAAAAGGTGGTAGTGAAGCAGTTTATGTGCTATGTAAAAAGTTAGGAATCGTTTGTGGATTTTCAAAAGAACAATACCTACCTTCGAAATTTGTGTTCTTTCTTTTAACATACATAAATACATACATATGTATGTATATATGTTTGCTCATACACATCCATGCATATGTACATATGTACATACACACATACATGCATAATTATAGTATGCAATTGGGCGTGAGTATTCATACGTGTATGCGTGGGATTTGTATCTATGTTACAGACTTGGATCTGAACAAATTGACTGCAAAACACACAAGAATAATGTGTACATACATATATTTTTAGGCCATCTTTGTGTTTTTTGTTTCGTGGCTATCGACTTTGCAAGTAGAGGGCAAACAAAGGCAATCAGCATTGCCGCAAAACATCTTTGCGTCAGACACATACACAATATGTATGTATTCAAGAAAAACACTGTTAAGCGCAACAAAAGCAACAGTCGCCATATTCACGACAACAATAACGAAAAACAACACGTGAACACGCACACAACCGAGTTCAACAACAACAGACTATCTGTATTTGTACACTGCATGTACATATGTAGATATGTATATTTCGTCATTTTTGTTCGCTTTACGTCCCGTGAACCGTGTGCTGTATGCAGTCAAGTTTTTGTATGATCGAAAAGAAGAAAATTACGCGAAAAGCAGAGAGTGCATATAAAGGAATTGCATCAAACTAATGACCAGTATAAATGGTCAAAGGGGATTGATAAACTCCTTTACATAAAAACCTACATATCTACATACATATGTACATATTGACATTAAATGCGTATACATACGTATTCAATTGATGGGAAGGGTGACTAAAGTGAAAAAATATAAATATATACATACATATATGTACTTACGTACGTATATCTACTATATATATATGTACATATGCATACATACATGCACAAGTATGTATTTTGTACTGCAGCCGCTGCTAGGAAAGAGAGCAAGATAAACGGGAGAAGAGAAAAACAGCAAGAGATATACGAAAGTACCACAACTGCAAACTTCCAATAAGAATTTTTCGTGTAGCATTTCTCGCTAGGAAAATAAAAATATAAAACTGCACTGGGACCAGTGGTGCTTCAACTTTTAGCCGATTTTACCCTGTACTGAAAAAATTAAATTTTTTTAAATAAAATTTCTCTACGTAATGCTAAACACACAGCGTATGTTCGATGAACATAGCACTGCAGGGAGAAAAAAAAACGTTCGATGAGCTCTTTAATTATTCTGAGCCACAGACGGGATTTAAAATTATTTTTGGTTTTAAATCCGATATTAATTAAGAAATTTATTTAATTTGTGATTTGTTTCATCGACCATATAAAAAATAAATTTTATTTTCTAAAAAACTGTGCTTGCGTTACATAAAAAAAGGAAAATGTATTTAACAAAGTGTGATTGAATTTGACATTGCTCTCTGAAGAACCATGGTACAAAAAAGAAGGTAGTTTCAATAAACAACTTTTGACGGATAATAAAATTTTTTGAAGTTTCATAAATTGTGAGTATTCTCAACGGCCTTGCCACTTTGATAATATTATAACAATAAATCGGAGTATTTCTTTCCCACATTTATACCAATTTAACAATATTTCAAATCAAAAATCATTAACAGTGCTTGGTGATTTTTTTTACTTACGTGGTGGTTCGCACATTTTCCTTATTAAAAACATATAAAATGTGTAATGTTAAAGGAGACTTCATTGAAATTGTTCTTTTTATATTACAATGTTGTTATTTTTTCATTTTCTTATTTTGAATGCAATCTTGCGATTTAAAAATCAAATTCTAAAGAATGCTCTTTCCAAATAAATCTTGTTATAATCGCCAATTCCATGTGAATAAATTGTTCTCATAACTTAACATGCAAAACAAAAACAAATTGGGAAAAATTATTTTTGTTTTGCTTTATAATTTTTGGGAATATTTGTTCACACGAAATTCGTGATGAAATTCGTGAAAATTTACTTTTAAAGTTCTCATCAGATTTTGCAAAAAATTAGGCTTTGTGGTTAGCGTATCACCATTAACGTCAACAAATTTCGCATTTAAAATTTCCAATGTATGCAAAAAACGTTAATTCGGCTTGCACATAACTCCCTCCGATAAGCAATTAGCATAAGTATAATTTTGATCACTTTGTTCATCCGTCCTGAAACCTAGTTTCGTCAACCCCATTTTGGAGATTATGCATTAATTTTCAGATTTATCATACTCGACATCTTTGAGTGGACTGATGAAATCTTCTGCTTAAAAAAAATATTACTGCTCGTGGTCAGGTAGCATGAATTTAATGAAATCCCATAATTTTATAAAAAGTCAAATGGTTAACAACAACAATGAATGCCATTAAATGAAACTACCTTCTTTTATGTATCATGAGAAGAAAGATCCTATAAAGTCAAATTGAAAAAAAATTTCAAAATGAGTTGTCAATCACACCTTGTTTAATAAAGCTTGAAAAAAAAGAAGGTACATTTGTAAGATCCTACTGATTCAATCATTTTACAGCATACATAGACTGCTTTTACACAGTTCAAGTATTGAATTCACCTCTGCTCGCATGTGGAAGAGAGGATGTGAGAAGAAAAGGGACGAGTACACATGCGTTGTACCGTCAAGTCGTTTCAACTTTCTTGCTTTGCTTTTGGCATTTTCGTTGCTTCCCATTTAAAGAACCAAAAACTTGAATTCAACAGAATTGAAACGTGTAAATGCAAATAGAACACACAAAAGAGAATGAGCAAGAATTGCTTTCAAGTACTTGAATCATGTAAATCGGGTGATACATACATAAAGGCTGGTTTTCATTAGGTCAAAATCCCTGACATCAAAGACTGCCTTCATCTGACAGCAGTTCATTTGGTGTCAAATGCGCTTTCATTACACTTTAAAAACTGACCAAGTGGTGCTACCGCAATGCATGTCAAAGACTGTCGTCAAATTTCGGTGTCAGATGATTGACATCCCGTTGTCATTACTGATGTCAAATGTGGAGTTAAATTTTTACAAAAAGTGTAGAATACCGACCTTTTAGCTATAGAAAACCCAGAAATGCAACTGGATACAACTCTTCATGCTGATTTCAACCTTACCAAAATTATTTAGCGCAAGTAAAAAATTAAGAAGATATAGGAGGCTAAGTTAAATTTTGCGATATTTTGAAATATCAATATCTACATAACCGATTAAACAACTAATGATGTCAAAATAAAGATGATTAGTTTTTCTTTCAGTTGATGTACATAACTTTTCTGATGATTTATATTTTTAAGTCAAAAATACTACAAAAGAAAAAATTAATTTTTTCATACATTTTTTTTGAAGAAAATTGCTACAGAAATTTATATATTATTTAGAAAGTACAAGTAATTTAACGAAAGTAGTGGTAAAAATCGAAATTGTATACATATTTTTTTTTTAATGGTGTTTACCTAAAATTTGTGTGAAAGTGGTTATAGTAAATAGGTATTAAAATTAACTTTGAATTGGCATCAATACTTTTCTCATCGGTCAAGTAGTTTCAGAGATATTAATCATATAAAAAATAGGAAAGTTGAAGTTTAACCCGTTTCGGTAAGGTTGAAATCAGCGTGAAAAGTTATATCGATCTGCATTTTTGGTTTTTTGTAGCTAAACTGTCGGTATTGCAGCTAGAATCAGCTGTTCGCATGGCAAACGAAATCAAATTGTTGGCAAATAAATTTTGGTTGTCAAATGCTGCAGCATCAGAGGCGAGGGCCGTTTTCGCTGGCTGTCATTTTATATGATCGTTCGTGGTGATATATGACAACAAACACAAATGACACCAGATGACAACCCGTTTTCACTATTTTGACAACATTTGACGTCAGATATGACCTAATGAAAACCAGGCTATAGATTGTGTAAAACATACAGGGATAGACTCGTTAATTCTAAATTACATCGGGGGTTAATTGCAGTTGATCCGGATTAGGATCTAAAGTAAATTTTCAAAACTAATAGTACGTTAATGTTGAGCCATAAACTCGAGTTTATTGGCCATTTTGGAGTTTAATGCTAAACTCTGCTCTTAAACTCGGAGTTTACGCTACAAACAATTTTTTTTAAACTCGTTTTAAAACCACTTTTATTTGCTGTTTATGGGAATGCAACCCCTTTTCTTAATAAAATTTGGCAGCACAGTGCATACAACTTGGCCGCATTAGCAGCGTTGCCATTTTGGACCAATTGGACCAAAATTGGTAGCTTCATTCTCCGTTGGTAGCTTGGTTGGTTTGATGAAGCTTTTGGTAGGCAACAATGTTTTGAAAACACAACCAAATTGAACATTAAAATTTGTTCGCTTAATTTTTGTTTATGCGTTCAAAACACTGCTTTCACTTTGCTTACACGTATAAGATTTCTTTATTTTTTCTATGTATTTCATTAAGCAGACAATTTTCTGCAAACAAACCTCACTTCCCAAAGCTATGACCGATGATTAGCTGTTCAAATTATCGAGAAATTACCTATCGTCTTGATAGAAAAATTGGTGATAGGCAATTTGCAAAGTGTGAGTGTATTTGTAAAAAAGGGTGAGTGTATGCCAATTGAATCAAATTTGGATTTTTTTATTGAAATGCATAAAATGTCTGCTTTTGTTTTTTCTCACAAAAAAAAAATAAATGTGATATGAATTGAATCAATCTCAAAGGTATTTACATATTTTGCAAAAGTTTTCTATACAATACGTTAATTCATTTATTTAAAGGCCCGAATTTCTTTTGTTTAATCTTAAATGGTGTAAAT